GCTGCTGACTGGTGCCGCGGCGCAGAAGGCACCCGAGCCGCCACAACAAAAACACGGCGCAACATATCCGGTTTTACCACTTCTTTCCTGAACAAAAACACGGCGCAACACATCCGGTTTTACCACTTCTTTCCTGAACAAAAACACGGCGCAACGCAAAAGCCTCAAAAAACAAAACGGCGACGAAGACCAAATGTTACATTCAAACGAAAAACACACACACGTAAGACAAAATAAATAAATTAGGAGCTGCGCGCGACTGCAATTATTATTTATTGCTTCTCTATTGCAACATGCAAGCCTCATATTGCTACCATGCGCTCCCATTACCCCGTGCTAGCCCTCATGCTAAGGAAACAACAGTGCTTGGCCGCTCCGCAGCTACAACCGCACCACACAAATTAACCCACACCGTCCTTATCATTCGGCACGGCTTGGGGAGTAGATCCCCTGTGCGAAGAAGAGCGCGGAGATCACGCCGCAAATGACCAGAGTCATAATCCAACCGGCGTACAGCTTCGCGACGATGATCCAGCGCACCTTCAGGAAGCCAACGTCAACCATGCTGATCGCAACCACGGCGCCGGTGATGCAGTGCGTTGAAGAGATCGGCACGCCGTAGCCGGAGGCAAACGACACAACGAGCGCGGTCGAGAGCTCCGCAGAAAAGCCGCGGCTCGGCGTGATCGTCGTGATGCGCTCACCGAGCAACCTCATAAGCCTCACACCGAACGTCGCAAGCCCAAGCACGAGCCCGGCACCACCAAGGCACAGGATCCAAATTGGCGTGGAGTTCACCGCCGACGCCGTCTGCGTCTGGTAGATGGAGTATATGGCGGCGAACGGCCCCATCGCATTGCTCACATCGCTTGAGCCGTGCGCAAAGGACGCACAGATGGCTGTGAACACCTGCAGGTAACGGAACACGTACTCCGCGCGGTTGTCAAACAGCTGTACTTCAAACTTTGACGCATCTTCCTCCACCCGGGGCTCGCTGTCCGAGCCTTTGTCCGAATCGCCCACGCGCGACCCCGTGATGGGTTCGTTGGACGTCTTTTCCGCCCTCGCATCGGCGCCCGTCGCGCTCTCCGCCGCCACATTCCCGGACACGGTGCCGTCGGCCGCAGGGGCATCCCCAGTCTTCTCCGCGGGAGCATCGGCCGCAGCATTTTGCTCCACCCCTGCAGTGAAGCAAGCCAATTCCTCCGCCCGCCGCGCAGCCCGCGCCGTCATCCACCTCACGCGGCGCCTCAGCAGGGGAATGACGGCGATCGAGGCAACGCCGGCGCCAACGCCTATGGTGGCCGCGACCCACAGGGCCTTCTCCACTGGCCAGTGAAGGCGCGACTTGGCGCCCTTGAACAGCACAAAGAAGGACTCCAGGAAGAACGCCACACACACAATGACCGGGACGGCATACAGCGCCCGCTGCACAGAGTTCGCCGGACGCAGCACCAACGCGCGAATAATGCCGTACACAATCGCGGCGGCAATACCAGCCAACAGCGGCGAGATGAACCACGACGCAACAATCGGCACCACACCCGACACAAACGGAAATTCGCTCTTCCTCTTCGACCAAGAGACACCGCTGGCGCCGCCGTACACAAGCGCAAAGCCAATGATGCCTCCCGCAATGCTGTGCGTCGAGGAGACGGGAAGGGTCAAGGCGGTCGCGAGCAGCAGCCACGAAAAGGCAGCACCAAGCGCACAGAGCATGCCGTACATCAGAACGTACGGCTCGTTCACGAACTGTGACGGGTCGGCGATGCCGCCGGAGATCGTGGAGGTCACCTCACCGCCAAGGGATACGGCGCCGGCGAACTCGCAGATGGAGGCGAGGAGAACAATCTGCTTCAGCGTCAGCACGCGGGAGCCGTACGTCGTGCCGAAGGCATTGGCGAGGTCGTTCATGCCCACACCGCATCCGGTGAGGAAGGCGACGATGCCGCCAACAATGGCAATCCACAGGTACGGGTTGACCATCAGCAGGTGTGCTCCGTGTTCCGCTTGCACGCCGGGGGTGGTTTTCACGGAGGTTGTGGGGACTTTGGAAAAGAGACCTAGCACGGTGCGTGCGGGACAGCAGACACACAAGGAAAAGCAAGAAACAAACATTTGGCGGACCGCCGGGGTTGTCTTATCCAGCTCGCCCTCGCCTCGTTGCTTTCAAGAGCATTTGAGAGTTGTACACTGAGATAGGCAAAGAGATCCCCGTGAGGACCATTATTTGCAGAAAGTAATGTTTTGCCAGTTGCGGCTCTTTGATTGTGCGCAGCCGCACGGCTAGAGTTCGGATTCCCTGCGGCGCCACGCTGTATGGGCACGGCCGCGATTTGTGCGGGCTCCCGGCAGCTTCTCATTGCCCCCTCACTTTTTGTGTAACTGCAGGGCAGAGCAACGGCACGCATGCAACACAACCAGCAAAGTCGTGCCGGCACGCACGCCGCCGTAATTCTTCCCGCGTTAAAAAAAAAAGGTGCGGACACACGATGTACTCATGAGTGGTCGTCTCTCCATCGGTTCAGCTTGAAGGGACTGCGGCAGAGAGGGCGCAGCAGCGCAGCGGCATCGCGCGGCTCCAGCACAACCCTTAAAGCGAGCCCGGCACCTAAAAG